CTGCGTGGGGTGGGGCTGCGTGGAGTGGGGCTGCGTGGAGTGGGCTGCGTGGAGTGGGGCTGCGTGGAGTGGGGCTGTGTGGGGTGGGGCTGTATGGGGTGGGGCTGCGTGGAGTGGGGCTCTGTGGTGTGGGGCTGTATGGAGTGGGCTGGTGTGAGGGAGAGGAGGGCTCAGGACACACGTCAGTCAGCAGAGCGTTTGGGACATGAGAATCTAAGTTAGGTTTGATTCCTAGAACTCACATAAAAATGCCAATTGTGATGACACTTAAAACCCCAGCCCTGGAGAAGTGGGCAGGGGACCCTAACAATGTACAGTAGAAGTGTTCCCTGGGTGTGACTCAGCATTCACACTTCAGTGTGCCCAAGCACAACCTACAAGAGTTGTGAAAGCCTTGGCCCCACCCTGGAGACTGAGCAAACGGAGGTGACAAAGCCTAGACATCTGTCGCTCTTAGCTCCTCCACTGTGTCTTTACTGCTCTGTCTACATCCAGATTATCACGTCTGTCAACTACCACCAAAACACTGACTACAGCACTTCCTCAACTGCTATGTAACCCACAGTTTTAAGAAGATCCTGTATACGAATTGCCTTTATTTCTGTAGATCTTTATGAAACATTCCATTTTTGCAGATCATAGTCCTTTATTATCAGATTCATGTGTCCTTTCCCATCCCTTTAATACAAAAAGGAACAACCCGCATTATTCAGTCAGCTACTTTCATCGGACATGGCACTAAATAGTATTTATACGTCAACATTAGATCATTTATTCAAGTGGATCACACAAATTTATCTCCACTGTGCCAAACCACTAAAAAAAAAAAAAAAAAAGAGCTGAATACCAGATGCTTCCAGATGTATACAACAGCCATAGTTTCGGAAGTGAGCTAGTCCTGTTTAACAGATCACATTGCTAGTCTACGTAAATAAACCGGAAGAGACCTAAGTGTACCGCTGTACACACATCAAACGCACGCTCATCTCAGCAGAACGATACTCACTGCACACCTGCACACTTCTGCTACTGCTGTGAAAGCCCCTGAGCAACACTGCACTTTAGCAATTACAAGTATGGAGAAAATTTACCGGTGGCTTTTCTGTAGCAGAAATTAATAACAGCCGTCTTCCTCAAGAGATTTGAAAGACAAGCAAAGTTGAAAATAAATATGCAAGCACACATAAACCAGTCTTGAAGTTAGAAATACAAACCAGCAGTAATTTCTAAATGGCAAGAATCGAGTTCTCCAACACCAGTATTTAGATCACTGAGAATGGGTCTATTAATTTTGGAATTAAAAAAAATATCATTTGTTAAGCCATTTCACCAGATGTACCAATAAATGCCTCTTACATTACACTGCAGGAGATAATGGCCATTTAATCCTTCTGAATTTAATTCCTTAATGATTTTCAGTTCTGTGTAAGCATGAAGGTCCAAGAACATTTATAGATTTGCTTGAAATTCCTGCTGTTATTTATGAATGTTTTTAAATTTTCTACTTTTATTCAGTTGTTGACCCACATGAGTTACAAACACTGAAGCCTGCATGTGAGGGTGATCTTCTCACATTCTCGGACACTACACTTTGACTTACAAGGCGTCGCTCCCTTCCTCTCTCCAGGGAATTAGAAAGGGCAAAATGGAGACAGATTTAAAGAAAATTAAGGGTTTTCCCCAGGCTTAGCTTATAAGATAACTGCCAAATACATATTTCACTTACTAAAATTTTCATGAAACTGAACACTAAAGCAAAACAAATGGACTTTTGAGTTAGGTTCTGTGAGAATAAATGAGCTATGATGAGCATCAGACACAGCACACTCACCACCCATGTCAAAGAAAGTCAACTCCCTACCTGACACTGGCTTGAAAAACGGTGTCTCCATCTGCTTTAAAGGGCTACAGAAGAACATGTGTTAAAGCACCAGTGAGTTCTGCTGCACGTGCAGCTCAATTGGTGCATCCAGCCCTGGGCTCCATCCCCAGCATCACATCACCCCCAGCACTTGGGAAGTGAAGAGGATTAGGAGCTCCAGGTCCCCCTCCGCTATGTATCCAGTTCAAGACCATCCAGGCTGCAGGAGATACCATCTCAGAAAATAAACAAACGAACAAACAAACCTATAGAAGTCACTGAAAGCACTTGTGTATTTTTTTTATTCAAAACCAATGTGTGGAGCCCATCTCATTCATTTTAAGAGTCAATCCTCATATACGTATGGTTGCTTTTATTGTATTTTTAAAGGAATTGCTACTGATAATTTAAGACATCCGAAAGACAGAAGATGCATGGAGGATTATCTTAGATGCTTCAGATAATTATAAGAACTTAAAAACTAATACTTGTTCCTTCTTAATATAAAACTCTTCCCACAGAGCTCCTGATCAGCTAAGAAATATTCCCGAGGCACTGTGGGGTGTATTACCGATGTGATGTTAATTCCTGACAGCAAACAGCACTATCTTACTCACGGCACAGGAGACGCCTTCACTCGATACTCCTGAGATTCTTAGGAGGGAAAACTAGTTTTACAACCTTTAAAGGAATTCACTGATAATTGTAAGAACTGCACATATTACGGTATTAGAAAAGATGTTCTCTTTTGTAAGGCATCAATGATTAAACAAATAAAAGGCTTATCTAACAAAAAACAATTAACAGTATCATAAAACCATTTATCTTCTAAACTTCTGAATTCCTGCTACTTTTCTGCCAGCTTAAATAAGAACGCCTCTTGGCCTAAACCACTACTGTTATAAAAAACTAAGACATCTGAAACTATTAGGCACATCAAAGGTACAGTTTATGTGGTTCAAGAGTCCCTTTGTAAGGGGCACATGAGTTACCTGGCACACTTTACACGTGGAACTGTAAAGTCATCTACTAAGTTGAACTTTCACATTTTTAGTCAAACTGAAAGACTTAGAGCAAATATTTAAACATACCATATCTTCAGTTACAACTGAGCAAGTGTAACATTTTACCAGATAAAAAGCTGGACCTAAGTGTGAAAAGCCCCCACACACTGGGAGAGTACTGCTTTCTTCCTGGTTTAGAGAAGCCAGCCGTCAATACTTTGAGCACAGCAGTTTAGCAGTGGGCTTGGCTGTAGTCTGTGATTGAGCAGTTCAACGCCACTGGCATCGTATTCTGTAGAGCACGTGTGCCAGCGCACACAAGTGCACGCGTGTTCCTGTCCCTTAGTCAGACTTGTCTTTCTTCTTTCCTGATAAGGGCACTTTGTTTACAACAGCAGAACCCACAGCCGTCACACCTCCAGCCACAGCAGACACGCCGCCTTTCACCAGCCCTATTCCCATGGAAGGCACAGTTGTGACAGCTGTTTTGGTCACCTCCAGACTCTTTCCACCAATCCAAGCCACGCCACCAATGGTGGCACCAACAGCTCCCTTTGTAACACTGAAGATCCCTCCAGTCACACGAGACAACACGCCTGGCTGCTGCTGTGGGTGATCCTTCATTGACCCTATGAGAGAGAGCAGATGCCAGTCAAATATGAGTCAGTACAAACGCCTTCCTCACAACCAGGAGCTCCATCTGACAAGTGGAGCTTTACCGAGTGAACAGTAAGGAGCTCTTGACTAAGTATAGCTGCACAAATTTTATATTATACCTTGGTCCAGAGCTAAGTCTTCTGAAGCAAGGTCTTGTTAATGTAGCCCACACTTTCCTCTGCCTCACAAATGCTGAGATTACAGGCATGTATCAGCACACTTAGTGTTCTGTAGCAATTTCCACGAGATGAAAATCTTCTATTTTGGAAGGAAGCTGGTTAAGACACAGATGAAATATTCCATTCTACATAGAAGCTCCTTAAGCTCAAAAGCAAACAAATCAAAACGGCTTCAGGAAGTTCCTGAAACTGACCAGATTCACTAGGCCCCTCCCTTCCGGAGCATATGTAAACTGTAAAGACTGCTTGGAGACATTCAGACCAGCTGAGCAAACTGGCAGGGCATTCCCCAACCTGCTGAGCTGCCTCCAGGCTGTGTGGTGTGCCCCAGGTTTCCAGCTGCGGTAAGCTGTCACCCACAGGGGAGTGGACTTCAGGGTGCAGCTGCCTTTGAACCGTTCCTACTACTATTCGTAACTCCAGTTACACTCAGTGATTCACCAAGGTGGACTTTGGTCTATTGGTGGCTCCCTATCTGGAGTGAGCAGACATCTCTGTATCTACCCTGGAACAGTATCACACAGCAAGTGCATCCAGGGCAAAGTCTTATCTACAAGACAGGACATACTGTAGAGACTAACCTGCTTCAGTTCAGTTACCAAAATTTTACCTTAGGAAGTATAAAAAAAATAAAATTATAAACATATGTATCCCTTATGCAGGATTCAATCAATAATTACTAAAATAATCATCTTCATTAAATGTGGCTCTCAAGATGCTCTGGGGATCTCTAAGGACTCCGGGGGAAGGGATACATGGAAAAAAGAACCTTTCAAAGTAATATCAAGATGTCACTGTCTTTTTACTTCCTTCTCACAATGACAACTCAGAGTTCCGGAAACGCAATGATGCACAGCAGGAGTGAGCGCAGGAGCAGCTGCCGCACCAGTGCGCCTGTCTTCTCTCACTCCAGACAGCAGAGGTTTATAAAATATACAAATACCATCACTCAGGTAACAGATCTCTTATTTGAAAGTTCTAAAATTGAGCTTTTCTAAGACACAAAGCATAAATTCATCTTTAAACTTCTTTTTTTTTATTGTTCTACATTCTAACTGGGAAAATCTTACTGATTATTCTAACTAGTACATCAGGCAGGAAATAAACTCCAGAATTAACAGTTGGGGCTATATGAAATTCAAAGGTTACTGTATAGCACAAAATACTCAGAAAAGCAACAGCCTCCAGAACAGGAGAACATCAGACAGACAACTAATATCCAGAGTTTGTTTTCTTAAAGTACAAAAATCATACACACAAAAAGCAATAGCCAATCAAAGTATTTTATATCCTTAGCCCTCTGGAAAATGCAAATTAAAATTACTGTGAGATACTATTTCACCCAAGTCAGAATGGCTATCAACACCACTACTAAGGCTGATACAGTGCCATATTCCTTTAATCCCAACACTCAGAAGGCAGAAGCAGGCAGATATATACCTGTGTATTTTTATTTTTCTAAATACTTACTTTTCACATGAACATACAAAGTATCATCATGGCATTTGCAAGCAAAATTGGTTCTGATTTCCCCCATCAGCATACAAGTTCACAACCAGCCAAGGCTACAAGAGAGACCCTGTCTCAAAATAAGCGAACAAAAAAAAAAAAACTAATAGCTGATGCTAATGCGGATTTGAGGAAAGAGAAACCCTTGTTCACTGCTTGAAGGAATGCCAACCGGTACAGTCATTATGGAAATCAGTATGGCGGTTCCTCAAGAAATTAAAACAGGCCATCCTGGGCACAGAGATTCAAAGGCCACGTGCCATAACACAGAGCTACTCACATACCCATATTCACTGCTTTTCTATATACAACAGCAAAGAAACGGAACCAGCCTGGATGCCTGTCAAGAGATGATATTGAAAGTGTTGTGCGTATATTACGTTGTAAAAAGATGAAATTACTAACGTGCAGGGATAGGAACAGATTTGGAAAGTATTATATTAAGTGAGATGACTCAAACTCAGAAAGAAGTAACTGCATTTCTCTTTCATATTTGGATCCCAGGTTACAAGTGTATATACAGATGAGAGAAGATGCAGATAAAATCTAAAAATCTAAAAAGGAAATCAAGAGGGTTAAAGAAAAAAAAAGATGCTGAGGAAAGGGGACATGAAGGCTAAGGAACTCATGTGACCGGAAAAACAGAAACGAGAGAGGAAAAAGGAGATAAGAAATGGGGAAAGGAAAATAAGCTTGAAAATGCATGATACTGATGTAAAATATGGAAAATGAGTATTTAAAAATGAACAAAATGTTACACAAGGATAACATACAGCCATTGCTAAACTTGTTTTTAAAATACAAATTGTAAAACTACTAAGCATAATACACTTTAAATTTTTAAATGGCTAAAAATAAAGGACTTAAGAGGTAGGTAAGAACCTGAATAGATTAGTTATAAAATTTTATTAAATCCTGAAAAATAAAGCAAGCAAGGAGCTCGGTGTCATCAGACATGCCTGTAATTAGCGCACCGAGAGAGTACAAGGACCTCAGTGTAGAGTTAGCCTAGGCTACATAGGGTGACCCTGTCTCAAAACTGTATGATTGACTTTATTATAATATACAATCTTTTCCTGGAGATGAGGACAAGGGAATAGTGGCACATACATGTCAGAGAAAGATCCTGTCTCCAAAGAAAAGAACAAAGGTGTTTTGTTTCTTTTTCTTTTTTTTTTCTTTTCTTTTTTTTTTTTTTGAGACAAGGTCTCACTATGTATCCCTGGCTATTGTGGAGCTCTAATAGACCAGGCTTGTAGATGGAAGTTTCTGTCCCACCCAGTCCCGCAGTCATTCAGTCCCAAAGAAACATACAGAGGCTTATTTTAATTATAAACTGTTTGGCCCATTAGCTTAGGCTTATTAACTAACTCTTACAATTTAAAGAAACCGTAATTCTTAGTCTATGTTAGCCCAGCTAACTCAGTCGGTAGAGCATGAGACTCTTAATCTCAGAGTCGTGGGTTTGAGCTAAACACAGGATGACAAATGTAGCACAAAAAATAAAAACCCAGAGACAGATATTGGGGTTCAATCTGAAGATCAGAAAAGCAAAGCAGCCAAGCCACTAGAGAGCTCTTACCTCTGTGAAATCCTCAAACTGAAAGAGTGAGTTCCTGTCTCATGCCGCTTTATATTCCTCTCTAGTTCTGGGATTAAAGGTGTGAGCCACCACTGCTAGGTCTGTACGACTGACCAGTGGGCTGTTTTACTCTCTGGCCTTCAGGCAAGCTTTCTTTATTAAAATACAAATGAAATATCACTATGCAAGCTAGCCTTAAAGTCAGAGATCTGCCTGCCTCTGCCTCCCAAGTGTTGGAATTAAAAGTGTGTTCCACCTGGTTAACAAGTTTTCAAAAAGCAAAACACAGAAATAGAAACATACATTCAAAAAATACATATTTATAAATTACATATACCCAGAGTATATATTAAACTTATACAAATTGTTCTTTAAAAAAAATCAAAACTGAGCTAATAATTTTCAGGATTTTTTTTCACTAAACTAAAACCAATTAGGTAGTTCCTCTGTAGGTGGGGGGGGGGTCTCACTATGTAGCCAAGCCTTGAGCTTGATATCCTCTGGTTTCTACCTCACAATTTTGGGATTATATTAATCAGTCACCAGGGCAGACAAGTACATCCATCCTCTTTGAGGCTTACCTATAAGAATTTTACTGTTATTTTTATATTTTGAAGGTTTTGTTTTGTTTTAATATTGGCCCAGAAATTTGATTTGTGCCTAACACTCTGGGAAGAAAATGAACTACCTAGAGTTAGGCCATCTAGCCCAGGGTCACATGCTGCCCCAAGGAGGTTGTGGTTTATGTTAAGCTTAGAAAGTCTATACCAAAAACATGAGTGAGAGGTGACCTCAGGCATTTTCTGTAGCAGTCAGGACACCGAAGGACAGGAGACAAATAATGTTTCCAAAGCCTTCAGAAGCAAGTGTTAAGAGTATTTGAGTCCAAGGTCATATAAGAACATAGAAAGGTATCAAATATAACAAAGAATGATATGAATTTTTAAAATCTCAAGTCTCAAATTAGGTGCAGTTGTATGCAGGATATCAGAAATAAACAGTACATCCTGTACCTCTCACACCTTTGTAAATAAACAGATGTCCTTGCTTGTGAAATGGTCTTAAGATAAAAGTGTAACAAGAAAATAATCAAATGATGAAAATTGTGTCTCTATCCATCAAGGTCTATGTTTTCTTATTAAAGACTAAAAGTATTTATTTCAATTATTTTGAAACATGTTTACTGACCAGATAAAAAGGTTATGATTCTTTATATTTAGTTTTTAAAAATAATCGTAACTTTAATTTGATGTGGGTTCCCCTCTGTATGCTGTGAATACCACTGGTTAATAAAGAACTGCCTTGGCCTGTGATAGGGCAAAAGAGTAGAGCTAGGCGGGGAAAACTAAACTGAATGCTGTGAGAAAGGAGGCAGAGTCAGGGAGAAGCCATGGAGCTGCTGACAGAGACAGACAAGCTAAAACTGTGCTGGTAGGCCACGACCTCGTGGTGATACACAGACTAATAGAAATGGATTATATTAAGATGTAAGAGTTAGCTGATAAGAAGTTAGTGTTAATAGGCCAAGCAGTGATTTAATTAATACAGTTTCTGAGTGGTTATTTCAGGACTGAGCAGCCAGAAACCAATAGCAGCGTCCTCATTACAGCATTAATTTACCAGGATGTTCCTTCCATTCTTACTGTCAGGTACATGCTTACCTTCGGGTGGTTCATCACTAAGATAAGATGGAATTTCTTGATTTTTATCTGCCTGATTCATGATCACCTATAAAAAAAACATATTTCAGAGTAAGACTACTTCTCACATGTTGCATTGAATCAATTTAAGCAATTTTACTTAAACAGAGAACATTTTTAAATACCTTCCACAAAAGTACCTTGTCCTACTATCTCCTATTTCAAACTGCAGAGTTTACAAAGGACTTGAAATTGCATCAATGGACACTAGAAATTTTAGCACCAACACTAAAGAAGAGCCGTGGTGACAATGCAAGTGTTCCTTGGTTGTTTCTACCATGGAATTTCAACTTCACCTGAAAACTGCTAGTGAAGAGAGCTGGACAATAACAAAACGCATGAAAATAAGGATCCATCCTATGTCTAAGTATCCGTCCTATGTCTACAGCCTCACAGTCAACTTGGGTATGGTGGTAGAGCAGACTGTAAAAACAGAGACTTTCAAAGGTAACTTTAATTTCATGTATTACATCTTGTTATGATTTTACAACCTAAATCCTAAAACAGACCTCAGTGGCATAAAATCCAACTGCATAGATCACATGATTGACAAATACCTTCTAGTTGCTCTGGTGAGAGTCCTGACTCAGATACAGCAGCACCTAATCGGTCTGACTTGTGAATTGCAGATCATTTCATAGGATTAAACAAAGTAATAATGAAGCTATGAAATCTTGTACAAAGATAAACAAAAGCGTATCATTTGGTGCATTACTCCAAGGCGAAATTCTTGACTAACTTAATTAGAAAACCTCCTCAAACTAGAAAGCTACATTTATTTTCATTTATATGAAATCATATAAGAACATAACAAATTATTCAGCACAGTGTTCAATAATTAGAAAGCCTAAGTTTGAATCCCAACCAATATAAAATATATGGCAAAGGAAAAATAAGATTTCAAAAAGAAATTAAGATATTCTAGCCCTGACACTAAGATGAGAATATTGTCTAACAAACTGGAAAGCAAAACATACAGGAAATCCTGGAAAAATATGTGTTCCTTCTGCGGAAAAAGTTACTATATTATAGTCTATTTCTTCCTTAATTTCAAGAGGAGACAAACTTCTGTATAAGCTATTCATTATATCCCACTAAATAACGCACAAATTTATATACCTATATACATAGAAACACGCCATAAACTGGCTGATGGCCAACATGATCAATAGAAGCTATAGTAATCTACACAGGAATTTGGAAATGACATGCAAACATACATCTTACTTCTTTTATTTCTTTTTAGACAGCATCTCCTAAGTAGCCCAAGCTGATATGGAGCTCAATCCTGCCTCAGTCTTACAATGCTGGGATCATAGGAATATGTCACCACCCCCAGGTTCATCTTATGTATTTTAACTGGAATTCAAAAATATATGTGAATGTGATTCCAACTATATTCATTTCAAAAGTGTCCCTATCTCATAAGTCACTACTAATGGGTTTACACTTTCCTCCTACTACAGAACTTTTTTAAAAAATTACTTTTCATACTTCATCTGTATGTATTTTACATCTAATAGAAAATACCACCACCCATAGATCATAGCTGCTTTACAACAGCCTGCAGACATGGACATTAATCTAAACGTAAACTGACCCCTTCCTACTGCGGACAGCAATGAGGAACCCGTGCAGAGTAACAATGCCAGATCTGTGCTTTTAAAACCTAGCTAAGGCTCCTTGTCCATTACGAGGTGAGGAATCTCTGCTACAAGTTCCTGACACTGCTAACCCTGCCATGGAAGACTATATACCCTGCAAACCCTTGAACCAAACCAAACTCCTCCTCCCTTAAAAAAAAAAAAAAGAAAAGAAAAGAAAAGAAAAGAAAAAAGCCACTAGCTAAAATCTTTAACGCATCTGAGGAAACACTAGCGGAGTGAACAGATAGCCAGATCTTTGCCAGTTAGACATCAAATAGAGGCTTAATATCCAGGATATATAAATAAAATTAAACACTGAAAGAACAAACAATGTAATCAGTAAGTAGGCAAGTAAACGAGCCAATTTCCAACGTGCGCATTAAAAAGTACTCAACATCCTTAGACATCAAGGAAATGTAATCAAAACTGGATCCCCTCTCAGCCCAGTCAGAATGGCTATCAAGAAAATAAAAATAAAAAATCAAATCCTGTCAGGGTTAGGAGACTATGGGGTCCTGGTATAAATACCTCCCTGTAAGATCTCTAGGCACGCTCTCTCTTCCACTCTGCCTATTGTTTTTACTTTGCTCTGATTTCTGCTTGGCTTTTATTATAATATCTAAGTGTGTGTATTCCTATTAGAATGTACACTCTGAGGACAAGGGCTTGAGTTTTGTATACGGTTTTACCTTCAGATTCTTCTCTCTCTCTCTCTCTTTGTTTTTTTGTTTTTCGAGACAGAGTTTCTCTGTGTAGCTTTGGAGCCTGTCCTGGAACTCACTGTAGACCAGGCTGGCCTCGATCTCACAGAGATCTGCCTGCCTCTTGCTTCCCGAGTACTGGGATTAAAGGCGTGCACCACCATCACCTGGCCTATCTTCCGATTCATAAAGTCAAATACTTGAATTTTTGTATAAAGTCAACTTGGATATTAATACAAGCTTATGGGAAAGATCTAGGGTGTTCGATTTCTAGTATGGGCAATTAAGTATGCAGAAATGTCAACAAAGACAGGATATATTAGAAAAGAAACCATTTCATCGAAAAATGAAGGGTTTGTGAACAAGTCCTTGTATCAAAACATACACAGGAAGTTGAACGAGATACCTTCAGGGAATGTACAGAAGAAAGCTGAGACAGTCTGAGACAAGGTGAGGTTTAGACAATGGCTTCAAGTGATAACTTAATCTATACAGGATGCATGATGTGATCACGCTAATGAGTGGTGAAAATGGACTTACAGCCTTCATTAGGTTGTTTGCATTTAAGAGCCAGCTGAAGAAGAGAATTTAGCAAAACAAACCTTCAAATAAACAGTATTCAGTGAATAGTTAATGTAGCTACATAGAGGGCAAGAAAGGAATGTATAAGAGTCCTAAAAATTTAAGGCAGACATTAAAACAATTTATCAGGATCGAATACTAGAGGGAAGTGTTAATTATCACAGAGATTAATATAAAAGGTTAGTTTCAAATGGCCTGGGTGTTTTTACATTGCACACACACACACACACACACACACACACACACACAAAATGAATCCTAACATTCTAAGATTGAAGCAGGAAGCCAGGTGTCAAGCAACCCTATAGTTCCAACACCCTGGAGCTGAAGCAGGAGGACTGCCATGAGTTTGAGGCTAGTCTGACCTCAGTGATCTCCAAACCAGCCAGAGCTGGAAACAAGATCATATCTCAAAAAGAAATAAACATATAAAAGTTACCCTTTAGTGAGAATTTCTTATTTTATGTGTTTGGCCTGTGTGTAAAATGTATGTGTGTGCACCATGTGCATACAGAGCATAATCCGATCCCCTGGAACAGGATCACAGTTGATTGTGAGCCCCTGTGTGGGTGCTGGGAGTTGAATCCCTATAATCTGGAAAAGCAGCCAGTTCTTTCAACCACTGAGCCATTTCTCCAGTCCCCCCACAAATTATTAATTTCTGTACAAACCATTCTGTTCTAAACTCATTGAATCACTGGTGTAACATACACTTGAACCCTAAGCATTGCATCTTGTTAGGGTTAGGCACTGCTCTAACCCAAAACTTACTTCAGTAGGAACACACTTTCCAAACAATTATCACTTTGATCATTCCTTAAGAAACAAAATATATTATCTGTATTTTAGGAGCTCATGATGCCTACAAGTTAATAATGCACACAAGTGTCTAGTTATAAAAAAGCTTTCCTAAAGAGGGCAGTAATGATAACAGTCTTTAGATCAAAGCAAATGATTTAGTTTAGAAACATAATCAGTTCCATCTTTTGGTCCTGACGTGGACAAACCATTATAATATCAACTATAAAAGGCTTCTTTACTACAAGACTGTATAATATGACAGTAAGTTCAGCAATAGAGACTTTAATGGGAAAGGGATATTTCTTATCTAGTACAAAATACTACAACAGCTGGCAGATATATTGAGTAAATATCAATACCACTATTCCCTAGAGAGTAACTTATTCCAATAATAGAAACAACCAAACACCTGCTGGAAACCTTTCCCTCTGGGGTGTGTGTGTGTGTGTGTGTGTGTGTGTGTGTGTGTGTGTATGCTTTATGAAAAATAAAATCACTCATGAAGAAATGCTGTTTGTGGGTTTCAGCAACATTTTATATAAAACGGTTTTTTAAAAATCCTCTGGGTATAAACCTCTAAAGTCACATAAGTTAACAGTATAAAACTCAGCTACAAAATACAGTGTGCAACACTTCACCTTCAAAGTCACTTCAAGACATTTGTTACCCAAGTAACAGTCTTCCTATGTAAGAAAAAGACTAAGCTAGGCATGGTGGCTCACACCCATAATCTCAGCTCTTATGAAGCTACAGAAAGATTGTCTTAAGCTAAACCAGCCTAGCTGCATAGTGAGATCTAGACCATCTTTATCTTCTGTAGTTTACAATCCTGAACATTGCTTGCATAAAAGGTGGCTCCTGCCAACTAAGTTAACAGCAAATAGACTAGAAGGAAGGCACTGAGTAAGAAAGTAAGAAAAATTTATCAATGTAAGTTTAAAAATCACATACAAAATGACAAATAACAACAATCTCAGAATAGAAAAGTTTAAGTGTTGTCCTTAAATGAAACATGGAGTAGGATTAAAATATTCTGCCAAGCCAGAAAACCAGTACAACAGTCATCCTCACTAAAATACATTTCATTGGCTCAAGAGATGCTGGCATCCCCACTTTGTGCCAGATCTTGTGGAGACAATGAATGAACATACACAAAAAGACCCTACTCTTAAGTGTATGTAATCTGATGCAATACCATCAGGAAGTAGAAAAAGAGCAAAAACTCAAGGATTCAAACAGGAAAGCTAAGATTTTCCAAGAAATAGTAGAAAAAAATCAAATACTTGACTCATGTAAAAATCAATTAAGCTTTTCTAAGGATGTTTTCATTGAACTTGGTTTCTGGTGTAAGCGGTATAACAAAGACCAAAAAATTGAAAGTGAAAAATGAAAGCAGATCTCTATGACTTCATTAACCGTTGCTAAAGCAGGAGTGGAGATACACTTACCTGTTGGCATGATAGCCCTTGGAGGCAACAGCTAACAGAAGTTTTAAACACTAACCAACAGCAGACACAAATAACTACAATGTTTCCTTTTGGATTAGCAGCGTTCAAAAAGACACAATCAAATAAGAATTCGCTCCCTAAACTAGGTATTTCTAACTTCCCAGAAGCCCTTTCTCCCCCTCATTGATCCACCTTCAGCCTTTAGGCACAAGCAAGTCTTTTTTTCTCTCCCTCATCAGCAGAGGGAGTGACGTGGCAGGAGAGGCAGAAAATGACCCTAGAGGCTAGTGCTAACTTGGGCACCTCCTTCCTCTGCTCCTTCGCTGTCCACCCAGCACACCCTCGTTCCTGCAGAATTCCAGCGTAAGACGTGTTTAAGGGAGACGATCCAATCTGATCCGGAGGAGCTCCAGGGCCAGCGCACAAGCTGCGTGTGCACGGCAGTCTCTGGTTTTGGATTAAGCCTGGGGTCGGCAGTGACTACCCGGAGAGGGGTGCTCCTGGACTCCCCAGTCGTTCTTTGACACTGCCAGCGCCCCCTTCTTTCCCACGCCTGCGGGTTTAGAACAGCGTGGGAGTGGAGTTCCCAAATTTAGGAAGAGCAGCCGGAATCTCCGCTTGGAGCCCAGCCCCGGACTTGAGAACCCACCCGGATGGTTTATCAACAGGTCAGAAGTGAAGTGGGGCGCAGAAGTCGGGCTCCTCCTCGGATGCACCCACCTTCCCCACCTCCTCCACCTCCACGCCAGCCTGATCACAGCTCAGACCCGGGCTTCCAGGAGCGAGCCACCCCCTTCCTATCCATCCCCCCCCCAACACCCCCGATCTCCCAACACTGCGTCGGTCCGCGAACTCACGGACCCAACCCGGGGGGGGGGGGGGCGACCCGGCCGCACCACCTCCATCCAACGACGCCCCACCCCGTCCCTCCCCTCCCCCTTCCCGCTCGATCGCCCCCCGAAAGGCCGGTATGGGGTAGCCAGGCCCCCCAGGGTCGCGCAGGTGAGATGCAGAGGGGCTAACGGAAAGGACCCCGGAGGCCCCGTGTCTCCCCGCCCAGGACATGGGACCGACTCACTCACCGCGGGGTCGGGGCGGGCAGCGGCCGGGCGGAGGGGAGGAGCGGCGGCACCGGGGACTGCAGAGGCGGCGACGCGATCAGGGTCGGCTGCGCGATCCAGATGCTCGCTCTCCTCCGCTCGCTCTCCTCGGGCTCAGCAGTCGGAAGACTCGGTCCGAGGCGGCGGCGG